CAACTCAGAAAGAAAGTTCTTCAACCAGATCAACTCCTTGGCCGCTTCAGCAATGGCCATATACTCTTCTGTAGTCTGCACATCCAACTGATTGTTGTACCTCCAATAGTGAATACATACCCCGTTGTGCTCTTCCCGGAATCATAACAACCCCCCAAATCAGCATCGGCAAATCCTTCAAGGATCACACCATTCCTTCTTAAACATAGGGCAGTTTCAGAAGAGCCTTTCAAGTAGCGCAACAGCCACTTAACTCCTTCCCAATGTTCCTTTCCCGGATTTGACATGAACCTGCTAACAACTCCCACTGCATGAGCAATGTCTGGCCTTGTTGACACCATCGCGTACATCAAACTGCCAATAGCTGATGCATAAGGAACTTTAGCCATTTCTTCTTTGTCTTCATTGGTCTTTGGAGACTGCTGCTTGGAGAGTTTCAGTTGACTCCCTAACGGTGTACTCCTTGGTTTGGCATCCGTCATTCTGAACTTCTCAAGGACCTTCTGAATGTACTTTTTTTGTGAAAGCTGTAAAGTACCTTCTATCCTGTTTCTAACTATGCTCATCCCAAGAATCTGTCTTGCTTCCCCTAAATCCTTCATCTCGAATTCTTCTGGCAACTTCTTCTTAAGTTTGTTGATCTCCTGCATATTTTCTCCAGCCACCAACATGTCATCAACATACAAAAAAAGGATGATGTATGATGACTTGAATTTCTTCAAGTACCATCAATGGTCCATCTTGCATCTAGTGTATCCATTCCACTGCATAAAACTGTCAAACCTCAAGTACCACTGTCTAGGAGCTTGCTTTAGCCCGTATAGACTCTTCTTGAGTTTGCACACCAACTTCTCCTTACCACTCACTGGGAACCCTACTGGTTGAGCCATGTAAATGTCTTCTTCAAGGTTGCCATGAAGAAAGGCAGTCTTTACATCCAGCTGCTCCAATTGCAAATTTTCAGTAGCAACAATACCAAGGATCAACCTGATAGTAGTCATCTTCACAACCGGAGAGAAGATTTCATTGTAATCAACCCCCTTCTTCTGTTGGAACCCCTTGACAACTAACCTTGCCTTGTATCTTTTGCTCCAATCTGCTTCATCTTTGATTCTGAACACCCACTTGTTCTCCAAAGCTTTCTTTCCCGGTGGTAACTTGACTAAGGACCAAGTTTGATTCTTATCAAGTGAATCTAACTCATCCTCCATGGCCTTCTTCCACTGTATGGAATCCTTCACGATCAGCGCCTCTGTGTAAGATTCTGGCTCTCCATTCTCGGTCAGCAACAGATAATTTGCTGAAGGAGAATATCTGTTAGGAGGTCTTCTGTTTCTAGTGGACTGTCTGATTTGTGGAGTAGCTTCCTCCGAGCTCCCACTATCTTCAGAAATTCCTGTATCTCCTGAGCTCCCACTGCTCCCTGAGCCTCCAGCCATGCCATCACAACCAATAGGTTGTGTTATATCATCTTCAGTCATCCCTTCAAACACCACTTGCTGTTTGTTTTTTGGTTGCTTGCCTTTGCTAGTGTCTGCTGCAAGATCATCTTTATACACGGCATTCTCGTTGAAGGTGACATCTCTACTTCTGATAACCTTCTTGCTGTGGTTGTCCCAGAACCTGTAGCCCATGTCATTCAGCCCGTACCCAATAAAGATACATTTCTTTGCCTTTGCCTCGAGCTTGTCACTATCTGCATCTCTAACTTTGACATAAGAAATACAACCAAAAACTTTCAAGTGATTAAGAGATACCTCATGACCTTTCCATTCCTCCTCTGGAATTTTGAACCCTATGGGAGATGAGGGTCCTCTGTTGATCAAGTATGCTGCTGTGTTCACCGCATCGGCCCAAAACATCTTTGGAAGTCCTGCATGTAATCTCATGCTCCTAGCCCTCTCATTCAGTGTTCTGTTCATCCTTTCTGCAACACCATTTTGCTGTGGTGTTTCTGGAACCGTCTTCAGCATTCTTATCCCCTGTTCAGCACAATACTCTACAAACTCTGTGCTACTGTACTCACCCCCATTGTCACTCTTTAAACACTTGATTTTAAGATTAGTTTCGTTCTCAACTGCAGCTTTGAACTTCTTAAAAGTGTTAAAGACTTCAGATTTATTTTTAAGAAAATAAACTCATACCTTCCGTGTAGAGTCATCAATGAATGTAACATAGTAGCGGGAACCTCCAATTGAAGAGCCCTTTGTAGGTTCGTAGACATCTGAATGAATCAACTCCATCCGCTCAGTCTTGGGTTGTTGCCCTGTCTTCACAAAGGTTACCCTCTTTTGTTTGCCAAGGACACATGGTTCACAAAAGCTCAACTTTGAGTTCTTCAAATCTGGGATTTTACCCTTTGAAGACAGCATCTTCATTCCATTCTCACTTATGTGCCCAAGTCTTTGGTGCCACAAAGTAGAGACCCCTGCATCTTCGACTGCTGCGTTTGCTCCATCTGTAGACACTTCTACCATGTACAGCGTACCATGCCTCTGTCCACGAGCAATGACCAGCTTTCCCTTTGTCACCTTCCATTGCTTGTTGCCAAAACTAACGCTATGGCCTTCCTCATCAAGCTGTCCCACTGAGATCAACATCTTCTTCAGATCTGGAATATACCTGACATTTTTCAGCCTCCAGGTTGTACCCAAAGTGGTATTGAGATTAACATCCTCAATACCCGTGATCTCCAGGGATTTGTCATCCGCCAAATGAACTCTTCCGCTGTAGGGCCTGAAATTTTACATCAAATCCCTGCAATGACAAGCATGAAACGACGCACTTGAATCCATGATCCAGGACTCAATTGAATTCTCAACGCTGCAAATTAGGACATCTTCATAATCCTCTGCCACGTTCACCTCCTTCTTGCCTTTGTCTACAGAGGCTTTGGGGCACTGATTTCTGAAGTGTCCATTCTCCTTGCAATTCCAACAATTGATGTCCTTCCTGTTCTTGGATTGACCTCTCTTCCTCGACTTTGATCTTCCTTTCTTGTTATCTCCTTTAGTGGATTTTCTGCCCCTATCTTTAGTACTCAACAAACTGTTGGAGCTATCCCCCGAACTCCTCCTCCGGATATCCTCACCAAGGATCAAGTCACGAATACCCTCAAAGGTAAGTTTAGTGGGTCCAGCCGAACTACTAACTGCTGTGACTGTACCGGACCAACTATCGGGCAAAGATGATAACAAAAGTAATGCTTGAACTTCATCATCAAATTTTATCTCAACCGAACCTAACCTGGATATGATTGAGTTAAACTCGTTGACGTGATCTGTTACGGCTGCACCTTCCTTCATTCTCGTGTTCACCAACTGTCTGATTAAGAAAACCTGGTTGGCCGCTGAGGGTTTCTCGTACATGTTGGATAACGCCTTGAGTAGTCCAAACGTTGTTTTCTCGTTGACGATGTTGTAAGCAACGTTTTTCGCCAACGACAACCTCACCACACCAAGAGCCTGTCGATCCAACAAGTTCCACTCCGCCTCCGCCATTGATTCTGGTTTGTTCTCATACAAGAGTAGATGAAGCTTCTTCTGGTAGAGATAATCCTCGATTTGCATCTTCCAGAAAGCAAAATCATGACCATCAAATTTATCGATCTTAACCTTCCCTTCGTCAGCCATAGCTCTGATACCACTTGTTACGATTTAGGTTAATAAAATGATAAATTAAAGAGCAAGAACACAAGAATTTACGTGGTTCACACAATCGGGGTGATTGTGCTAGTCCACGACGAACGAGAGAGAGTTGTTTTATTATTAGGTCTGCGTCAAGAGGTATTACAACGTACAAAGATATGCTTAAATAGGTTTAAGAAAACATAAACAAAGATTAGAGCCGCAGGCCCAAAAATTAAGCCCGTAATTAAAATTAACCCGTAGACCCGGTTGGATCTCCTATTTGACCCGGTCGGGTATCTCCTCAGAAAGCATGCCCGGGTTGAAACCAGGGCGGGTAACCAAAACAGAAAGGTAGAATCTCCACTGGCCCGGTCGGGTCCCCTTCTTGACCCGGTCGGGTGTCGCCTCAAAAGGCATACCCGGGTAGACACCAGGGCGGGTATCCTAAACAGAAGCCAAAACCTTCCACGGACCTGGTCGGGTAAACCTCCTTACCCGATCGGGTTTCCCAATCCAGAGTGTTGCCCGGCCAAATTCACATCATACTCGGTCGGGTGACTGACCCCACCCGGTCGGGTATCTTCTGCTGCTGCACAAACAAGGCTCCATCTTCAACACATTACTCAATGTGATACTACTTCAAAGTTCGAACATAATTATATGAAACAATTAAAAACAATGAAAAAGTGATTTAGTAATTTTAAATCGCTACAACTACATTCAATTTATATACCCCGTAATGACCATAAAAATATAACAACTTTAATTACGTTTTTTCATAGATATTACTCTGTATTGTTTAGTAGCTAGTAATATTTTTTGAAAAGCCCTAGTTATATTTTGAGAAAAGCGTCAAATAAAGCCTTCTACTATTGCGAAATAGTCACATAAGACCATGTACTCAATGAAGTGTCATATAAGTACCTCTACTTGTATAAAGCAATCAAATGAGTCCTAACAACTTATTTAACACCTCCTAATCCCGATTTTAGCTTACATGTTGATTTTTTTGTCTTGTATTTCAACCAATCTTAGTTAAATATTTGACATATGCCGTATAATGTATTCTAAAAAGATGGTCAGAAGTACGTTGAAACCGGGATTAAGGGGTGTTAAATAGGTCATTAGGACTCATTTGATTGCTTTTTAGAAGTAGATGTACTTATATGACACTTTATTGAGTACATGGTCTTATGTGACTATTTCATAATAGTAGAAGATCTTATTTGACTCTTTTCTCTTATATTTTCATCCCGACAAACCGTATTACAAAATTAAAAATTTCTTTATCAAGCACAGATTCTACTAAACATACTCATTAATCTTATTCAGCGTAAAATAATGAGCAAAAAGAGGCAAAATACTTGACTTATAATTGCATGATGAACATACATTCGAAAATAGTAATCCAAGTTGAGGCGGACCTCGTATCAAAATTATTGAATCTCTGATTATATATATACAACAAAAATATAAATTTTCTAATAAATCTATAAAAGAAAAACAAATGATTCAGCCTTGTGGGAAACAACATTGCAACATATATATTGCACACATTCCTAGATCGGACCCTGCATGAATAATTTTGACAGGAAAGGCAGGAAAGAATATATAAATAGTCTAGTCTCTGAATTTGCTCAACAAAATTGTGTCCTGACTTAAGTCCTCACTTCAGGCAACGACTTCCGGTGGCGTCTCGGTCTCCTCTCCCTCCGCCTTGGTGGACTCTTTCTACCACCCAGTCCATTATTACTTGAAGTCTTCATGAGCATTTCCCCCCGCAGAAGAGTAGGCGGTGGCAGTGGCGGAGGATGACCATGTGGAGGCGGTGGGGCCCATTGTTCAAGAATATCTCTATGGTAACCCTGTATTAATTACAATAATAATTGCAAACCGTGGATACAATAACAAGCTATCCGCCCCAGCTGCACAGACCCACATGCATATACTATATCTCTAAAGATCAGCTATCCATATCATACTGGGGTCAAAAATAACCTTTTTATGGCTAAGTTTCTAATAATGGATGTAAACCAAAACATCTCTCTTTGCTCATCTAGTGAAGTACACCCACAGATGGTCCGGATTGAATCAAAAGAATTAATTCATTCATTTGCATTAATCCGGACCATCAACAGGAGTAACTCCACCACGCATTATATACATATAGATTATATACATATAGATTCGTGAAAGAGAAATTTTGAGAGTGGTAAATATGTACATTATTTGCAATTGATGCTTATTATTACAGAATACTACACTACTACATATATTTTTACCAAATTTAACTTATTTGACTGCAATAGTTCACTGTACAGATAGAAATTCATTTGACTAAATCTTTTTTTTTTTGACAAGTCAGGTCATTCAACCATAATTTCAACAACATAAGCTACTTCAACCAAATTTTACTCTTACCAAACAGGGTACTTCCAAATTGAGTAAAAGTACTTATAAGGTTACCTGAACAACAAAGTTGCGTCTTTCACAGTCAAGAAACATATTTACAGTCCAATTCGTCTTTGACCTGATCTTGTCCCTCACAGTTGAGAAACTAATCTGGTCTCTGGGGGTGAAACGGTCAACTTCATTGAACCAGAGGCAGGTGAAGAGATTAGAGATTGGAACATGTTCGCGAACAATCACACATCCCTCCGGAACATCTGCACACCAAAATCACATTACAAAAACAAGGGAAAAGGGGCAAATAAGCCCTCGAACTAACCGAAAAAGTGCAAATCACCCCTTTTTTATAGGAGACTCTGTCCGGACATCGCCATTTGAGGCGGTTACTGGTGGAATTTTTTGATAAAATTTTTTGATCATCTTTTTCATTAAGTCTAGTTTAGCCATACCAAATTTCAGCTAAAAATTCAATCGTGAAGGAAGTCAAATAAATGTTTGAAGATAACTGTGCAGTTAAACAGCGCAGTATATTTCAGAAAATCATTTCACTTCCTTCCCAGTTGAACTTTTACCTGAAATTTGGTATGGGTAAACTAGACTTAATGAAGAAGATGCTCCAAAAAAATCATCAAAAAATTCCACCGGTAACCTCCCCAAATGTCGAAGGCCAGACAGAGCCTCCTATAAAAGAGGGTGATTTGCACTTTTTCGGTTAGTTCGATGGCCAGACAGAGCCTCAAAACAATAATTCCATTAAAACTTCATACATCCCGAAAAGCAAAAACATAATAGGAAACTGCTTTTTACCACTTGTGATTGGGAATTTGGAGGAGGAAAATGGAGTAAGGCCTTCTTTTTTGTAAAACTCAATCTGGAAGTCGATGGAGGAATTGTCAAACTTTGCTGCTGCCTTATTAGCTTCTGCTTCCACAAACACATCAAAACGCCTATAGTGCTTGGAAATTGCAAAGCTGGCATTTTTCCTCCACAAGAATCTGGAGATTTCGTAAAAAGTCTTTTCTTAGCTACAAGGTCAGCAGTAGTAGAATTAATCACATCAAGTCAAAGAAATTAAGTTCATCTTGATAGGGGATTTAAGCATGTGTAGTGTCTGTAATATCTTTGATGTTATTCTTCTGAAACAACTTCACACTAAAAACATAGAGAAATTACTCAAATACCCAAGTACATTTTATTAGTAAGAAGAACCTTAGTATGATATAAAATCATACTCAGTAAGCTACTTCGAGTTTTAATACCATTTTTTTCCAACTATTTTCCTTCTCACTTAAACAGGTTTTCAAGTAATCGATTGAAACTTCGATCCCATTCATTTTGAAAAGTTTTGAGAGTGTAACTTCAAATTAAAAAATGTTTATAGTTCAGGATAAGTAAGAATGTAATCATAGTTACTCATTGATGATTTAATAATAAGACAAGACAAAATATCACAATCATAAAACATTCCCCTCCTATAAAGGCTTATTATGGTTAACTTAGGTAGAAAACTGCAGCATTATATCTTTACAAAAAGAGCGTTACAAGCACTGTTGTGTTTGCGTGCATTGGAATGACAATATCATTACCAAACCTTTATGAGCATTAATTACTTAAATTAAAAACACTACTAATTATCCATTACAAAAATAAAATATTATTTTTATGAAACCCTTTGTCAGTGACATACCCATATTGAATCACTCTTCCATTCCATTATAAACTTCACACTTGAATTTGGCACGTTTATTAAGAGTATGGCTTTTGTGTAGACTTTTCATTTATAAACATACATTCGTGACAACATGTCTTTTAAAATGGAATGGCAAAGACTATATTGTGACTTACAAAAAAGAGTTTAACTGAATATAGAAAGATGAAGTTGTTTAAGAGATCCAAAAAGAGGAAGTGAGATGTTCAATGTGAGAAGGAGTTTAGAGTAGGTTTAGTTTACTTTAAATTAAACATGAAGCTAGCAGCCTAGCACAGTACCTACCTCTCAAGAATTTGATAAGGATCCACAACCAGTTCAAGTTTTCCATCAATCCACATAGAATATCGGGCCTTTGGGAAAAGCCGATGAAGTAAGAGCTTTGGAACCTGCAAGACGAAGAGACAGATACATCACTCAAAAAACATGTCCACTAAAAGACAGTAGGTGTTGTTGCCTCTCCACATATGCAGCCAGGAAAAGTGGTTTTGAGTTCTCATTAATTCAAACAACTCTGTGATGTCAAATTAAATACTTCAGTGCATGGATCTTTGATCTACAAATAAATCACTCCCCATAGTCCCATCGATTTAATAAAATAAGTATATGGTCCTTTTTAGAAGTCATTCTTTATTCCCATGAAGTATTAGTTTCCTTATTTCCCATTGTTTTTCCCGAATAAAATCGTGTTCACGTTTCTTAAGACAAGTCAATTACGAGTAATGTACATTAGTAATGTTTTTTTTTACTTTTTAAGGAACTCAAGAAAATCAAATATTTTCATTAGTTTGTGCAGTTTGGTCAACTGTGCCCTAACATGAAGTCAAGAGGGAGTATGGCATGAGGTAAACATAATTTAGTACTACGTATCTTTTTTGTCTTAAATCAATTTAGCCATGCTTACCAAATCTCATAAACAAAAAAATGTTGTTGAAAGAGTACAACTGCACTCTAAATTATTAAACAAATGCACCAGGAATAGAAAAAATTACCTTTCCATTGCGCCTTGAATCGCTGTAAGGTAGGTTATGGACTACAACGATTCTCCACAATCCAATTTTACCACTACTATCAAGATCACGTGAATTTCTTAGAAATGTTTTGGTCTCCTCATCCACAAACATATAAAAGCAGACATTTCTTTTCGCATATTCACTTATATTCGCCGGCTGATGTATTACGTCAAATGCCCCTGGTTATAAAAAATACAGTTTTTACTTTTAAAAACAAAACTTTAATTAACATAACCATAAAAATTGATATAAGATTTGAGCTTGAAGAGGTAGGTACCAAATATTGCTGATGCAACCACCACACCTTGACAGGTTTCCATCTCATCAAGATCAGAATCATCAATGTTAAAGCCTGTCCCATGCCCAGGTCTGGTTCCTTTGACAAATCTGCAGAACATATTGTAGTACATTTTGTGTGTTTAGCACAAAATGATTGCATATATTAGATTTGAAGGACTGCGTGAACAATAATTACAATATGAAATACTGTTCATTTTGTGGTATATACCTTTAGTACCCAATTATCAAATTGTTCAAACTCATACCAAATTGCTAAATGCGGTCAGAAAATGGATATCTTCTGTACATTCTTCCATTACCAATAGCAGGAAGGACGTTTTTGTAAATGTTCTAATCACGTCCATGGCTCCATCTCACATTCCCACCAGGCCCACCCCCCTTCCCCGCAAAACACACATACACAAAGACTTGGTGTCTGTCTGGGTAGAGAGTTTTGGATGCAATGGCTTAATCTATATCTTGATACGTATTTGAGATTTAAAAAAAAAAAAGCATAATATGTGATCACATAGCATGTCAACCAATCAACCACTTTATTTTTGTTTATAAAAATATTTTATTTATCAAAATATAGTCCAAGACATCCAAAGCTTTCCCATCCGAGAACTTTCATCCAAAAATACCTTAAAAGACAAATATGAACCTTTGACAGAAAAATTTCATCCCAATAGCAGAGACAAAGAAGTATACTTCTATTCGGCTTTCAATTTTGAATAAGTTTATAACAGGAATGATTTAATGACTAATGGGTTTTATTTATGAATGAACTATGTGGCCCATTAAGATATACCGAAGTCCCATGTTATTTCCATACTCCACTTCTATTCCCCCAACGGAGCACCCACTTAGATATTACGCTAAAATGTCCCAAAATCAGGATTAGTTCAACAAATTCAATGGAGCAAGTTCAACAATACATACCCACAGTGCACACTCATTGACTCCCTTATGTCATAGGAATCATCTCTCTGGCTCAGTGAAGGATAACCACCAAATTCCGAACCTCCAAACTCACTCTTGTTCAAATTTTCTTCATGTATATAAGTTAAATTCTTAATGACAGGAGAAAACGAAGGTGCACTTGGCATTAATGCAATAGCTTCTTCAACAGGAAGATAGCAGACTGGACATGCTGAAAAGAAAAACAGGGATACCTAATTTAATTAAAAGATCAATTAGACAAAGTCTTAAGCATCTCAAAACTTACGTCGTGGTCCAGTCCTTTTCTTATCTGCTGGTGGTGGTGGTAATGTAAAACCTTCACAAGGATTCCCAGGGGGGAGGGTATATCCCATAAAATACACGGGGGGAGGTGGGGGGTGATTAGTGGACGCAGTTCTTCCATTTTTTCTATGTTCAGTTGACACAATTTGGTGAATACTGTGTTCTTCACGTTCTGTAAAAAAGTTTCTGCTTTTAAGTGTACTGTTAATGTTGATGCTGCGCATTTCAAGCCCTGGAGGAGAATCTTCACCTACAAAATTTTAAAAAAAAGCACAGAATGTTAGATGAATAAGAACTTTTAACAGGAGACAAAGATGTCATGTAAAACTTAGGGCAAGGAACATGTAAGGGTTTTAATGAAGGAAAATTTATACAGAATCTTCATATCCACCATAGGAAGTGCAAGTTGTTACTTTTAAGATTGCAATGGAGGCAAAAACTCACTATTTTTTTGCTTCGGAATATGATGGAATAAAGTAATATGACTCACTAAACCGTCTGCGCTTCTTTGTTATGAAGCAACAATAAGTCCATCCAATTTTCGACGCAATTTTCACCATGGGTTATCCGGAAACAGCCTTTGCGGCACTGGGGTAGTGATGATGATAAGTAGAGTTACGTTTATGTTTAATACTCACAAGTACAGATGATTAATGAAACAAAATCACTTCTCCCCTCCCACTCCTCCAAAATACCTCTAGCAAACAGGCCCTTAATGTAAGAGGTAGAATCTTTGGTCTAAATCCACCACCTAGACCCGCCTAGTCCTGCTAGGTGCTGGACTCCTTGGCTGCCTATATGATGCTTTTCAATTTGACTCCACCTATACCACGTGTGACCCCCCCCCCCCCCCCCCCCTCCTCCTTGTGTGGGTGCTAGGCTCGCGTTAGCCACCCGTCTCAATGCATTTTAGAACATTTGATAGAAACCACCTATGCCTGAATTCTAGACACTCTTCTTAAAATGGTGTTTCCACTAGATATATAATACCCGCCTATCTCTTTCCTTGACAATGATAGCACTGTCAGTATCTTTGTTTTAATTTAACACTCAATAAACTCACAAGTCCGACACCAGTAGAATGTGTATTAGGTCCAAAGTGTTGAGAACTATAGATGAGGTTCCATTTGGTGAGGATTGTTTGGTCAATATTATTGAATCTCCTGATTCCTGAATATTATAAAGATAAAAGCATTTGGTAAAATCTGTTTCAGCCAGAAAGTGTAACAAGCATAGACTAAATAATATCACAATTTCCGGGTAGAGCCAAAACACAATTAATCTTGCATACTGTATCACCAAAGGAACTGAAGCTAGATACATATGCACTATCCAGCTAAAGATATATTAATCCAATTCACAAGATCAGAAACCCCACTGTAATGCAAACAAACCCATTAAGTGCTAAATGTGCAACCAACCAGGATGGAAGTAAATAAATAAATAAAAACAAGGAACCGAACCTTTGCCAACAAACAAGACCAAAACAAAAACAGCAGCAGAAACAGCACACAAGAGTAGCATTCCAATCTTCCTACGAGGCGCGAATTTGAAGATCCAATGAAACAAACCTTCCTTCTCCTTAAACATCTTAGGTGGTTTTCTTGGGGGTGGTATAAGTGGTGAGGTTTGGATTGAGAAGGAACCGTTCTGGAATTGATGTATCTGCAAAGAACCATAACTACCAGAAGAACGAAGACCAGATGACCCGCCAGCAGTCATTGTTCTCCTCCTCCCGCTTCACCTCTCATCCCTCATCCCCTTTTCCTCACCAACACATCAATTCCAATGAAAAACTCCGAATCCGCTTGCTAAGAAAATAAATCGAGCCCCACTTCGCAAAACAATCTCAAAATCTGAAATCAATCCGTATTCAACTGTTCTGATCCGGCGACAAATTGAATGAAATGGCGCAATCATTCACCAGGGTAAAGAGACACCAGCAAAGTATAACGGCGTGCATTAACAAGCACTTAGCGAGAAATATATATATATATATATATATATATATATATATATATATATATATATATATATATATATATATATTCGAGTAAATCAGTTCGGATTCAAGACAAGAAAAACTAAAAACAATCAAAGGCCTGGTTTTTCTCCCGTGGGACGAAAATTACAGAGTAGAGAGAAAGAAAACATATTATGGGAGTAAATAGGAGTTACAGATGAATTGGGCGTTGAAAAAATTGGGTTAGCAGTGATGAATTGTAGGGGTTTTGTCGGAACGGGGTGAATTCAGATCACTCCTCCGAGCCGGCCTTTTTTGTTTTTCTTTCTGATCTGTGGATCCATACGTCAATTCGTCTATATTTGTAAACTCCGTGGTGTGTTCTGTTTCTGTTAAAATATGAGTAAATTTAGTATTCCTAATACAGTTTAAAAAAGCACTAGATCAAGTCTAGAGGGGAAAATTTTAATCTTGTTTATAAAACTGCCTCCCCCTCCCCATTCTTTCGTTTCTTGGTTATTATTTCAGCCAAACAAACAAAAGGGTCTTTTTTCCTTATAAAGAAAGTACCTTCAGACTGTGATGTTGTTGACACGAGCGGCGGGCAGAGCTGAAGGTGTCAATGACATCTACCGTGGTGCTGGAGGCCATGCCGACGACGTGCAATTATTACTACGGCTATTAGCAAATACTAGGTAAATTATCTTTCCTTATTTGAATCATTTTCTACAATTTTGGTAAGTTTTCTCCTACAATGTCAACATCTGGATGGTCTCTTTAACATTGTGAAGAAAAATTTACCAAAAATTGCATAAAATCATTCAAATAAGGAGATAAAGAATTAATTTACTAATATTTATGTGACTATCTCTCATGTCACATGTGCACCATGCACATTGTAGCATTCAAGGACAGAGAGTATTAAAAAGGAACCACCAGATAGGTTCACTTTTCCAGGGTTTATTTTTGCATTGCAAATATGGGCATTTGAAAGCTTCCTGGCTCTTGGGACAACACATGTTTGTACAATATATAGAGGAAGGCAGAAGAGGAACATAACCAAGATTGCTGAAGCGGTCAGTACCAAGAAAAAGTATCACTACACTTAGCAGGTGTCATATTTCAAAACAAAGAGGTAGACTTTATTTTTATTGTCTACATTGTGTGTAAGTTGAAGTTATGATGTATGGTTTATAACTCAACAGTGCAATTTTTTTCTATTTAAGATTCCAATAATAAAGGAGTTGTTGTACACAAAGAAGACAGAAAATTTAGCCAAAGGTGAGCATCTTACTTTGAAACGTGGGCTACCAAAAGGGGAAAAGGCTTTGTTGTTATGTTTATCATAAAAGTTGCTGAATTTCTAATGATGGATAAACATGAGCTACCAAATTAAGAGGACTTCACATGTGGTATACTTATAATAAAATTTGCAGGTGCAATTGTTGTATGTTTATCATAAAAGTTTCTGAATTTCTAATGGTGGATAAAGACGTGACTGAAGTTTCAAAGCAAGACATGGAAAAGTATCGACAAGAAATGACGACAGAGCTACTGATGTATATATATCATGAGGAAATGAGCTGGTTTAACATGATCTATTGATATGTACCATAAATCCAACAGATTGACTTAGATGCTTTGTAATAATTAGGTTTTTGAAAAGGAAAGAACTTGTAAATAAAACTTCCTTCATTTGGTCATTAAGACTTCTTCATAAAAATCTGATATCTTTTGGTTACGAATGCTTGTTCATGTTTTATTTGATCTTTTTGGTGTCATATCAAATGTTTGTTCATATTTTATTTGATGTTGAGTTCAAGTGTAGTATCTGCTTGAAGTAAGGAATATAGCGCATGAGTAGACATTAATTAGTCCTTAATGGCAAAGTGTAGACATTAAACTCGTACATTTAAAGCTTGTACAATTGTACAAATACTAGTCTATACGCATAAAGAAAATGTGGAATTTAATAGATTCAACTTATGAAACAATGGTAAAATATATTTACCATTCATAGGAATAATACACATTGACGGATAGTGTACCCGGGGGGTAGCTTATCCGAGGGGTTATTACGGGGAAATAACTAGAGAGAAGTCAGAGCAAGTAAGTAGAGAGAGAGTATATTAGAAAGTGTATTCAGCGTATTTGCTTCTTGGTTACAAATGGGGAAATGGGGTGCTATTTATAGTAGTAATAAATGCCAGATAGGGACACGTGTCAAGCGTCCATTGGCCGAGGGGTCACCTCAACTGGTTGGCGCTGGCAACCGCATGTGGCCGCATTTAATGCGGCTGTTGGATGTGACGGCGTACTTGGTACGGTGATCTATACGCATGTGAAGCGGATATTATGTCGGAAAAGGTGCCCTCGGCTGTAGGTGATTAGCCGAGGGCTCTGAGTACCAGGGACCTCCTTAGTGCCGAGGGCTCCAGGTGCCGAGGGCTACCGGTTTTTTCCGTTTTCTCCTAGTAACTTTGTTTTCCTGTTTTGACCCTCCTGTGAGAATCAGAGCCTTCGGCCGGAAGGTCGAAGGCACCCCTGGTGCGCATTATGGGTCGCTTGGTACTCTGGGCGCCGTGATTTGGGCCTGTTGTGCTTCCTGGGCCTATTGGGACTTTATTGGAGTAGTAGGAGTCTGTGGGCCGGGGGTTCCCGGGCCATATACTCCATCAGGAGTCCCTCACTCCTTTTGCCGAAAGGTACTTGAGGGAAAAGGAGTAATTGTGTTTGCCCTCTGCCGTTGTTCCGTTTTTGTTTGTTGTTTGTTTATTCTGCCGGGGGCAGTCCCTCAGTTACCCACATGTCGGGACTTGAGGGGGCATGTTTGTTGTTTGCGGGATTTTTTAGCATTTTGCACTTTTTGTGATTTTCCCGAGGGGGGTTCTCCAGTCCCCCACTCCTTGAGGCACTTGCAAAGTGGTGAAAAGGAGTAGAGTAATCATGTTGCTGTATCGGGCCGAAGGCTGACGCTTTTCGTTTCATTTTGGGGGGATGCCTCGTTAAAAACCTCATTAGGAAAAACCCTGTGGGAAAAAATCCTAATGAGGGAAAAAGAGTGCACCGAATTCCCCCAACGATGAATCGAAAATGTGAAGCCCTGGTTAGGAATGGAGTACAATGTTGAAGCCAAAGGCTATTCTAGTTCTGGGGGCTTGTGTGTTGGTTAGCCGGAGGCTTACTGATGATATCCTGGGAGGTGCCGAAGGGGAGTCCCTCAATTTGGGGATCGAGGGCGTGATGAATGTGAGTAGTAGTTGAAGTGTTACCGGGGTGTCCCTTGTTTGTTGATTAGTTGGCGAGGAGGGTGTCCGAGGGCTCCCGTTACCTGTGTGCCGTAGGCTATCCATCAATGAGGTGTACTCCCCAGGGACTACCTGTTATGAAGCCGTGGGATTCTGAAGGAGTGAGCCCGAAGGCACTTGTTATGTAGTATGAGGGGCATAAACCGGGAGCATGTCTGGGTACGTGCACCCGGGGGCTCTTCTTGATGAAGTGGAGTGAAGTAAAAAGCCCGGGGGCTAGTTCCTTCGTTGATGAAGGAGTGGGCTGCTAAATATAGCCGGATGCTCCCAGAATATAACCGTTGTGAATATAGCTGTTGGAATACCTAACGTCAAAATATAGCCATTGGGGGGCTTCCACGTGGTGCGTGCTCGTTGGCTGCCTGTGGGCGGGCGTCACTGATTGGGCAGTTCGACAGTTCGTAATGATGGCTGTTCAACCGGAGGCCCGGTTTCCAGGCCCAAGCTCGGATCCAGGTGCCTATAAATACCCCAATGCCAGGCATCACTTCTCTTGTGCGATCATCTGTTAGCGAAGCTCTGCCAAAATTCCTAGAGAGAGAAACAACTACCTTCGATCAATCAATCTTCCGAGGTCAGTTCTCCGCCCATCTGTTGTAGCATTAGTAAGTCGTAGTTGTGTGGCCTTAGGTTAAGTGCTTAACTGCCTTAGGAAGCCTCCTGTCTATGAAACCCCTCATCCCTTAGCTATTTGAGGATGTCTTCGCAAAGTGACTCTCAAAACGTCTCGAGGGAGCCTCCGGTAGGAGTCGAAAGCTTCTCTGAAGCCGAGTCCTCGAGCGAACGCACCTCGGTCAACCAGGACTCTGTGGTAGCTGAGGAGGTACAAGCAAGTCTTCGGCAAGAACTGGAAGCGGAGGAGTTCGAGCAGGTGTGCGAGGACGAGGAGCTGGCACTTGCCTTTCAAGTGGCTGAGGATGAGGCCCAAAAGGAAAGCATGAGGGTCACTGCTGTTGTTCCTCCCCCTCAGAATGCAGAGGGCGGAAGCTCTCAGCCACTAAACCCGACGCCTATCAGCGTTGCCCCCGGGAAGAAGAGAAAGACGAAGGCTGTCGGGAAGAAAAAACAGGCTGCTGTCGATGCCGGGCAACCAGTAAGAATTCCCGAAGGCTACTCCTATCTGAACACTGTTGCCTTGGACGTGAAGACCCGAGCCACACGGGGAGAATACATGGGGACACAGCTCCTGGTAGGGCTGTCGGCACTGGTAGTGGAGCCGGGGCCAGATGATGTTCTGCTATACGCTCCCGCCGGTTGTTTTGCCGTGCATCTGCTTTCGGTGGAGTTGGGCCTCCGATTCCCCCTCCATCCCTTCGTGGTGGAGTACCTTCGATATGTCAAGCTAGCTCCCTGCCAATTGACCCCGAACAACCACTCCTACTTGGTTGGCTTCCTCTCCCTCTGCCAGAGCCGGGATGTGGAGCCTTCGCTGGACCAATTATTCCTCTCTTTCAATCTGTGCCGGGGGGGCACTCGAATGCCGGTGGTTTTGCCAACCTGCAGCGGCTCCCAGAATTCAGGCACTTCGATGATGTCCCTTCGTCCCACAAGGGATGGAAAGATAAGTTCTGCTACATTCGGATGGCGGAGAATCCCTTCCTGACCCTACTTCGTGATAGCTTCCGCAGGCATGTCAAGGTAGGGAGCGCCGCCTTAGAGAA